GAGTCAGACAAAATGTTGTTAAAACGTAAGATATTTAGTCTAAATGAAATACTGAGAAGTCTAGGTGATGCTCTTCCCTGGTCACGTATAGGATGGACTTAAGTACTTAAAATATGCAAAAGGTGGGGTATTGGAACCAGGGAATCTCAATTATAGCACAGTGATGTGTGAAGCAGATAAAGGAGGGGTAGATTATTATGAATGTTCGGGATCTCAGCAGCAGGCCTTTCGAGGACGCAGCTCGGTGGCTAATGGGGTCTGAAGCGCGGGAGGTGAGGACCAAGGGCTGGCCGGAGCAGGGACCCGCAGGAGGGGGCTGTCCTCTCCTTGGTACTGAATGGCTGCTGCTGTTAAGTCTGTGTGCGGGGGTAAGGGCAAGGTACGATGACCCTGCATGTGTTTCATCCCCCCTTCAGCTGTAGGAGAGGAGTAACCAGCAGCCCACGCTATCTGGAGCACGTGAATTCCTGTTTAAAGCTCTCCCAGCCAAGCGGTCCCTTCTGCGGCGCTGGCAGTCTCGTGAGTTAACGTCCCTGGTGAGCTCTTTCTGACTCGGTTCCCACAAGACACAGGGCGTACGCCATCCCGCAGGAAATCCAAATGGTAAAGAAGCACTTTGGCTGGACAAGACTTTAACAGTTAATCTTGCCACCAGTGGGATGAGTCTGGTGTAACAGAGCTCAGTTGATCTGTCAGTAGGTGGTAACCCCAAGCATTCTCAGCCTGCTTCACAGCCAGAAATGCCTCCTACCTGAACCCAGGCAAAGCATTTTCTGTGGAAAATAGAGGTATTTTGAAATAGAAGCGTTTCGTAGCAAGTAGTTATTTTTGAGGAAGATTTTTGGTGGAATAACTGATACGTTTAACTTTGCACGCGTTTTGAAATAACAAAAGGGTTTGAGCGTAGCACTGAAGCGTTATGTTCGCCCTCCCTTCATCCTCCTGCAGTCCCTTTGGGGTTGACAGAGAAGGCAGCACAACTCCCCCCGCTCCACCTCCCTAGAGAGCTGTAACAGGCTCGTAGTGGAGCGTGCTCTGACAGCAGCATCCCTGCGGTACTCCCCTCCTCCTCCCTGCACCTGCTCTGCAGCTCTTCGCAGAGATGAGCCCGAGCAGTAGGCTCCAGCCCACGCTCCCGCAGCTTCTTCCTTGGGTTTGTTAGATTAGTGCCGATGAAAAGCCATGGCTGGAACAGCCACCTGCATGCTTCTCGGAGGCCCCTGGGGAGTGCAGCGCGAGGGAATGCTGCAAGCCTGGCCTGATAAATGAGCTGTGATTTCAGGCCTATGAACAAATTGGTTTCCCCTTCCAGGAAGGCTCACAACTGTCAGCTGACTATTGCTTTATTTATTGCATTGGCCTTTGCAGCTAGGGACTCTTGAGGGCAGAGAGAAAGGATTCCAGTGACAGGAAAGCAGAAGCATTTGAACCCTTCCTTCAGCTGCAGCTGAGTGCCTCACCTTTGGGAACCAGACTTCATTCTGGAAGCCCGATGCAATCCTGCTATGTGCTTCAAGACACGGTGATCTGAACCCAGACTGGTCAAGAAATGGCCAGAAGACAGCAAATATCCAGGCCATAGAGGAAAGCAATTGAGAAATCACCTCATTCCTTAATGTGGCATTTGGTGCCAGACATAGTCTCAGCTTTTTCGTTCCAGCAATGCCCAGTCTTTGCTGCTGCTGTACAGACGCACTGAGGAGAGGCCAGGGACCTCTTTCTTGAAAGATAAAACCTCTCCCATTCCACATTGCATGTGCACTCTTCATCACAAAAAGATGGAGGTTGTCTTATGTGATTGTGTAGGTGCATTCTGCTGTACTTCTGAACCCACTCGGCATCTCTGCTGAAGCCACGATAACTGTGAGCCAAAATCCTTGGATAGCCAGGCCTTTTCAAGTTACTGTATGCTGAACTTCCTTCTGGAGCATCCCCACCCTTGCCAGGCTCCCATGGACTCGTTCATGGGTATGCTGATTTCAGATAGATCTACCTGCACTGTACAGGGGTGGAAACCCACTCAGACTGTGTGCAACTCTGGACAGAAGAGAGCATCAAGGAAGAAGACTTCTAAAGGGGTGAGTCAGCTAACAGAGAGAGAAAGTGGTACGAGGAAATCAAGGAAAGAATTGTCAGAAATGTTTATTCCTCCAAGGGAAGACCTTTAACTTTTCCAGTACAGAGTGATAAGCACTAAGGGTTGGCAAAAAAAAATAATTGGGGCCTTTTTAAAGGTCAGTCAGCCAATGCGACAGGGAACGGTAGGAATGAAGAACACTGCTATATGCTAAACTCTTCCCAGTTACTAAAAAGCAAATTTTATCACCACAGAGTTATTTTACTTCATTTGGAAAAGGAGATGGTGCCATAGCCTATGACAGGGAGATGGTCAGCAGTGGTGGTAGCAAAACCAGCAGGGTCTCTGAAAAGGGGCCAGAGGACCAGAGCTTGAGGAGGACAGACTAACATAGGGGAAGCAGCAGAGGGAATGTGAGGAAAGGGAAGGGCACTAGGGAAGATGAAGGAATCTGGAAAAGAGGCATCTGATACTGAGGGCTGGTGCAGCAGAGCCCAGAGGGAACTTGTTTAGATTTAGAGATCCAGTCCTACTGGGGGCACTAGAGTGTAAGCGCTTTGATGTGTCCCGATTCCCCTCCCTCCCAGCTGGGAAGAGACACCCAGGCTAGACGTACAGGTTTTGGCTGCGCTGTGCTCATCAGCAGGGCCACAGGTTTGGTGCTGGCATATCTGGGCAGAAACTCTCTCCAAAACCAACCCCCTGAAGAGGTAACAATTATGTTTATTAGTGCTCTTTAATCCCAGGACAGATTCAGGGCAGCCTGGTCACTGTTTACATCCCTGTGGGCCTCCCCAGAAGTTGATCTCTGGCTCAGCACATCATCCTTTCTCTGGTAGAAGAGCACTGTCATACTTGTAACCCCATTTGCTCAGTGAAGCATTGTGGAAAACAGCCCATTCAGAAGGCAAAGCTGCAAACAAAACCATATTTATTAGAACAAGCAGTTTGGTTAGACCAGATGGCCCCCAGCATGGAGACCTGGCTGCACTGCTTCTGCTGTCTGTCTAGCTTTTGGGCTAGTAGGCCCACGAGGTTTAGTCCTGCCTCATAACCACCAGTACAGGATTCACCTTCTGCCTGCCTGTCAGCCCAGGCACATCTCACACTCACAGGTACCTGCCCTTCCTTCCTCTTGAGCAACCAAGTGTGCTTTCTCCATTTGCTATTCCCCTACTTTTACCTCTCCTGGAGCAAATCAGCTGCGGGTCATTTGGCAAGTCCCTGTGATTTGTCTGCTTGCTGGAGCCTGGTACTTCATTGCTCTCTGTCTCGAGCCCCAGACTGGCTGGGAAGTGTTTGACAGAACCCATTACGAAGGGCTAACAGCAATTCTGATAAACTAGCAAGATCGGTTTTAAAGAAAACGGATAATGTTTCATCTGAAACTGCATGAAAGCCAGCTCTCACAAGGGGAGGGGGTGGTGGTTGTGGAAAGAAACAATGAGGTTACAAAGTTTCCTGAGGAAAATTCATTTCTAGAAATGGCTAGATTGTCACCTTTCTCCACAACTCTGAAAAATTTTTTTTCTTTGTATCTTTCAGTGAGGGAATCCAGCATTTCTTTTCAAATATGCATGGAAGTAATGGCATTTTTTTCCTCAAGAGCATCCAGGGTGGTGTAACCGGCATTAGCAGCTGGATTATTTGCAGGCAAAGGTTCATCATGCTCTTTCCAGGAACTGTAATGCAGGTAAGTGATAGAAGAGGGGAACAGGTTTTTCTGCCTTCGGTTCTTAGTTCTGCCACAGCATCCCCTTGGCCAAGTCACCTCACTGTCGTGGGGTTTTTTACGTGCTAGATTAGGATAACAATTTACCTTTTGACTGTCGTCAGGGTCAGAAGAGGACTTGCCCTGAGGCAAGTGCTTCTGGAGAAAGGGCTAGTGGTGAGATGGGATCTTAGCGCTCTCTGCGTCTCACAGGCGTGTGGCAGTGGATGCCATCCCTGCATGATGGGGACAATGCAAAGCAGAGAGCAGTGCTTAATAGCACCTTCTGCTGGCCCACAAACCATTCTCACAGGTAGGACAGCATTTTGGGCACAGGGAGAAGCATTAACAACTGCTAACCAGAGATCAGAAACGGTAGGAAATTACTCCGCAGCCTGCACTCGGTGCCAGCATACCATGAGCCTTTTTCTGAAGCCTCACTGAGCCAGAGCAGCTCCAGCTCTGACCAGCCTTTCAGTACTCTGTTTTCCCTTCAGTGCATTTAAACCCAACATCTCCAAGTCGGGATTCACTGTGTTGACCTATACTTCTGGGATAGGTTCGAGTCGTATTGAAACAGTGCTAGGAACAAAAACCAGTAACCTCCAACTGGCTTCCAGGTAGTCTTATACACGTTTGCAAGACAGATTATACTACTGCATAGCTGCAGCCTGTGTCCCCGTGTTACCATAAAGGGAAAGCCGGGCATATTGGCATTCCACAGTGAGACGCATCACTGGATGCAAAGATCCAGCTCCAAATACCCCTAGAGTCTGGAGCTGTTTGGACACACAGGGTCCAAGCCCATATGTAAGTACTGGTGGCCAGAAGTTTTACCTCTTCCCTCTGAATCATCCAGCACTGGCCATAGGTTTGTGCAAGCTGGTGGCCTATTCTATCCAACATTATGTTCCCAAGCAGAATTCAGCTACCTGGGAGAGGCACGGATAGTGCCTACAATTTCTTGGCGTGAAGAAACAGCATGTTACTGGAGAGTCCCAAACCTTTGCTTCCTCAGTCTCTGCAGGTCTGGCACATGGAAAGCCCAGAGGCACTGAAGTATCCCACTCAAGCAGCCAAGTGTTAACAACCTCTCTAAAGTCTAATTTGCCTTTGATATAGACTTAATTGTTTGCGTCACCCACTGGGCTAGGGGGAGGGCTATAAAAGGGGCTGCAGCCATTGTCTGAGGCAGAAGAGAGCCCAGAAACAGCTCCCTCTCCCAGTCTTCCTCGTTCAGCACAGTAGTCACAGCCTGTACATCATGCAGCTGGTGGCCAGCCTGGTGTCCGTTCTGCTGCTGGTATGGAGCGTGAGAGCCACTGCCCTGCCCGGAGAAGAGAGACTCGCGATGCAGAACCCTAGGGTGAGTATAATGCACCCTGTGCAGGAGCTGGGTGAGGTGGGAGCACGCAGAAGCAGGCTGGAGCCAGGGGAGGGGTAATAAGGGCAATTAGGCTTTACCTGATGCAAACAACTCTTCCACCCCTTTATATTCCAAGGCAATACAGCTTCATGCACTGCTGAAGCACGGGCTATTACTACAGCTTACTAGCCGGTTTATTTAGGAAAGGTACCAGGGCAGATGCCAGAGAGCTGCAAAAGTGAAGTCTTGAGCTAAGCAAAAACTGGCAAAAAGAACAGAGAGGAGAAGGAAAAGGGAGAAAATAATATTGCTGAAAGAGTACAGCATGGGAGAATAGAGCAGAGTACTAGGGAGGGAGAGAAAAGATACGTAATTGGTAAAATGATCAAGGGAGATGATATTTTAAATAGGACTCATGGGAAGGGCAAATGTTTAAAAGATGGGTTCAGTAGGAAAGTAACAGAGGAATAATAAATGAAGTAATTATATCAGAATAAAATTGCTTTTTCCAGAGTAGTATTCACAAGGGGAGTTATACTGACATAGTTCTGCTAGAATAATTACACTCTGAACCAGCACAGCTATATGCAGTGGCAGAACTTATTATAGCAATATAATTATCGTACCAACTGGAAAAACTCTAATATTATAATGGCTATAGCGCTGTAATAACTTTGTTTTGCTGGACTATTTCCCTAAGAGGCCAAAGAGGTAGGAAGCAATAGCATAACATAATCACAAGCAAATGCTCTGTTCCGCTTGCCCTCGCTCTGCAGTTTTCTCACCTGCATGTTCCTTGCCATCCCTGATGTTCCTCTGAGCCGTGGTTAGTCACCCCACACTCTGCCAGTCCGGGTCACAGCTGTGTCCGTACAGCTGCTGTTATTTCAGCCCTGCAGAGGAGCTACCCAGAGAAGTGAAGGATCCCAATGTTGGTTTCAGCACTAACTTCTCCTTTGTGCGTATCCACATCGTTTTTTCTGTCTTAGCATTGGCTCCAGCTCATCCATCAGTGTCTTACTGCTTCAGGAGTGGGCTCACATCCCATTAACAACAAAACTGGCTGCAAGAAAGAAACGTACATAGTGTGAGGTGCTTGGGCTAGCATTCTGTTAGAGATCCTGATCTCTGCTTTTGCAGCTGGCTGGGATTAACCCTTCTGGGGATAACTGTAAACTTTCAGCTGTACATTCTCACAATAAAAAATCCAGTACTTAAAAAGTAAACTCTTTCTGGTGCAAATGCTAGTTGCTGGGGAAGAAAGAAACAAGTTGTAGGGAATAAATCAGTAAATAAGGCTTTGGTAAAAATGAATTAAAGTGTAATGACTTAGTCTTCTACATTAGAATAGATATAAGGATTCTCTTTAGAGCATTCTGCAAACTGAAAAATTGTTAGATAGTGATTAACCGATCCTTGCAGTCACCACTGCTGTAACTCAGGCAAATGTTTTAAGCATGAAGAATATCAGGATTTTACATATAAACCACCATAAAACGAATATGCAAAAGAAAGATCTGTGCATTCTGATGCACTGGTGGATGTAGTACAGGAAAGTGAGCAGCTACCCAAAGGTGTGCCACAGCCCCCCCCATGCTAAGATCTCTAGCTGCTGCCAAAGAGTCTTGATCTCTTGCAGCTTGGGAACAGCTATAAGCAGAAAGGATGTTAGCAATGGATTACTGCGAGGGAAGAGCTGCCTAGTGTCGCTAACAGCCACAGCCGATCATGCATGCGGAATATCCCCTAGCGGCAGGCCGAGTTTTGCCTTCCCCACCCCTGAGTCTGAAGCTGCTGGCTCTGCTTGGAGCAGGTTATTTCGAGACATAGCGCTTGCAGCTAGGAAAAAAGCTTACCAGGGAGATGTGACCAAGGAGACACATTTAGCTGAGTTCCCCAGTCTCAATACATCTCCCAAAGGCTTAAGACATTTCCGTACTTGCAGCACATGAGTAGGAATCAGGATGGGCACAAACTGGCTTTTATCTTTTCTTCTGCTACAAACATCATGTGATTTTTTATTTTTTTTTTTTGCCTTGGTTTCTCTTGTGTGGAAGCAGGGTAAGTTACTAGAGCTAAGAAAGTAGTAAAAAATATCCATAAACACTCTGTAATGTAAACTCAGAATAGTTGCTGCTGCCTGTATTTATCCATCTTTTGAGTTGCTCACCAAGTGGTCCTTAGCGAATGCTGGTGCTGACAGAGCCATCAGCTAGATACATCAGTCCCAGCCGTAAACATGGCATTTGTGAGAAATGATGTGAAAATGTGCTTCCAAGATTCCCATCCACATGGGAAACAGGATCTGCTCCTGTCAGACCATCTATCCCACCTTGTCCAGTACCATCTGTCTCTGTTAATGAGTTGCAGAGACCAGGAATACCCAGGCAAGAGGGAATTTGCGATGCAAAGTTAAGAGAAACAAGGTAGCTCACAGCTTGTTACCAATGGAAATCTCACAAGCCCCAAACCACAGGCTACGCTCTTTCGTATACTGCTATGGCAAAGGGTTGGAGCTCAGCAACCTCTCTTTCATTCTGCCTTCCCCCAAGGTCAGGGCATTGAAATACGGGTTCTTGTTCTTGAAATACAAGCTGTCTGCCTCCACTGATTAAATATTTTGCTCCAGACACTTCGGGCATCTCTTCCCCTCACCAACCCAGCCCTCCCCTTTGTTACATCTCATTCTCAGCATTTTAGGGTTGGTTGCAACCCTCTGTGTGCTTAATTTAATATTGCTCAGGACTCCGTGCCTCTTCCCCGACTGTCCCACAGCAGATGCTGGGCAGTTAGAGCAGTGCAGGGAGCATGGTCTTACTATGAGAGAAGGCAGCTTGGCATTCTCTGAAATTTAATTAGCGCAGGCAGCAAGGGACTTTACAGCCAGTTCATATGTATTTATCAGTAGTTACAACACGGCGTGTGTGCCCGTCCCCGTGTCCAGCCAGCTGAGCTGGACAAGGGACAGGAGAAGGGAGGAGTGACCTCTGCAGCCACAGATTCCTCAGCTCCAGCACAGCTCTGCTGATGGGAAAAGCATCAGCTGCGAGGCCAGGGCGCCAGGGAAGGCAGGGAAATGAGAAGGGACCCTACAGGGGGATGCTCGCACCCTGCAACATCCCCCTGCCTTGAGGGCCGTGGGGGACAGGGCCTCCATCTGTCACTCTCTCCTGCTCTCTGCCCGCAGGAACAGAGCACAGTCCGGAAAGACGCCATCCTGAAGATGCTGGCGGGCCTGCTGGACGGCGTGGACGTGGGGCGTGAGGTGGCCTCCCCGGACGTAGAAGAGGAGGGCAAGCTGGAGGAGGAGCGGGTGGTGCTGGGGCGGCTCGCCCAGCTATCGCAGCGGGACCGCAAGGCCCCCTGCAAAAACTTCTTCTGGAAAACCTTCACCTCCTGCTAGTGCCGCCCG